ACAGGTGCTCATATAAGAACCTCTATATCTTTTTAACACCAATATATAACAGACACACTATGTTAAAATTAAAATGTTATATCTAATGTGCCAATTTAATGATTTAGCATATCGAAAATATTTTCAACTTAAGTGACCACATCGTGACATCACTTAGGTGGCAACATTTTTCATTGTCAATCTTTTCTAAATATGCTAAACTTAAAAAATGAACCAATTTTGACTGTCTAACCAGGTTAAAAGGATGAATATGTTTTTAATATTGGTTTACCATTGGTTTCTATGAGAATTAAAATTTTGAAATGCATCATTCCCTGAACCACTTTCATGCATGGATGAGTTCATTGCTCGTTCATCTATCAACCAATTTTCTTGATTTTGTCGGCAACAAGATCGCTGAATAAAATAAAGGATAGTCTATAGAAGACTTTTATTTCCCCCAAAACTTAGACAATATTTGACTTCTAACAAACGGCGAATTATCGAAAACAAACGGCGATTTCGGACACTCGCCCCCTGCTATTGAAAGCCCAGCAAATAGATACAATTTCTTCATTTCTTCTATATGTTATTGATGTTATATATAGTTTGTATCAATTTAGTGAGAATAAATGTAGTTATCCATGCCATAATTGTGTTTGTTTGTTTGTTTTTAAATATTTTCATTTTGTTTCCGGAATCGATACTTTGTTTCGTTCAGAGCATCCAAAAATGATCATTCCCGGGGTATGAGATCGTTGTTTGGGAATTCAATGCCTACTCGAGTTTGAAAAAACGTACTCGAGTAACTATCTTGGACAGGTTCAACGAGTGAGTGGCGAGTACTGGCATTCGAGTTGCACCACTACTTATCAGTCATGCAATATTATTATTATGCAATTATTTCATTAGGTTCAAATGAAATAATTATTATACAATAGAATTAAGTATCATCCTGTGCCTGAGAGTAAATCCAAGATGTAATGAACAGATAGAAAGATGATTTATTAATTTTTTATCACAGTGTCTAAGAATATAAATGTAGTATTTAATTACTCTCAAAATGAAATGGTTTTTATCACAGATGTCTAATTTATAGTTTGATATTTGATCTACTGCATTCACACAGAGTGGAAAATTTCAATAACACATGTAAATTTATATTCCAAATCAATATAAGGTTACTCCAAAATATTTCTCAAGAACATAAAAATAATGGAATTTAAAGGATATATTACAGATGGACTGATACAGAGCTTTTATATTATATTTCCATATCAAAATCATTGGTTCAGGTCTCCTAAACTTCCACTCAAGCAGTCATCAGTTCGTACCTCGATGAACACGTTCTCACAACGCGGATACCCTTATCAAAAATTTTAAAGTCAATTTAAAGTCATCAGTGATTTTCGTTTTTTAAAACTCAACAGCTTTTAACATTTAACAGTGTAAGATATTAATTATTTATCAAATAGAGCCAAAGTATATCCCGGGAATCCAAAAAAGCACCGAAAGAAATTCCCGGGGATTGCTGATGAGCGGGTGATGTATACCAAATATTCCATTCTATTGAGGTGAATACATGTTTATCTTTCCCTCAGTATATTTCCCGCAGGCCGAAATATACCTTAGGGAAAGATGAACATGTATTCACCAAAAATGGAATGGAATATTTGATTTATTATATCATTTGAATGTTCTACAAATCAAGTGTATTTCTTTTAACCATTTGATACATAGATACAATACATGTGCTCATCAGAATAACCACTCTAACTACTGCCACTCTTAGATGCAAGATGTTGCCATCTTTCATCCTCAAAAGTCACACATGCAAGATGACTTGTGACATCACTGGTTTATAAACATCAAGAACATGGCAACGGATGCACAATTGCTATGAGTACCCATGCTCATACTACAAATATAAGCTGTGACGTCATAACAATGAAGTTTTGTTGCCGTGCGTATCCAAGTATTTTCTACAATATTGTTGTGACGTCATAAAAAACATAACATCCGGGACTTTCTACCGTGGTATATACATCGTGGTATATACAGTTGAAAACGAGGCTGCAGCTAAAGACTGCAGGGAACAATGAAATACACCCTAATATTTTTAATGATGTGATCTGTTCTTATCCAATGAGAAAGCGAGAAACATTTCAATGATATAATAAATATATATCTCCCACTCACTTCAGCAGGATATATATCACCCGCTCACCTCAAATATCGATTATATTCCCGCATGTTATTTACCTATAACACTTCTAAGTATGGGATAAATTAATTTGTATGAATGATTAATGAATTCAAATATATTTGATTTGAATATAAAATACATAATTTGGAGAGACATCAAATTCCTGCATGCCCTACTTGGATACTAGGCATCCCACAATATCGTGTTGGCTTTTACAACTGATATATTGGTGAATATAGTTAAATCCAGCATCATTTTCATCATTATACACATATATGCTGAAATCACCCTAGAGCAGTGATCAATTTGCTATATAGTTTTCGATAATTTGTAAATTTAGATAAAAGACACCCATGTTCATGATAATTTTCTATGATTAGACAATCAAACATGTTACAAATGTTGCATTAAATGGATAGCTAATGTATTTCTATTTGTAACTGCTGTATTGATACTCAATTTTATATAAAAATAATTAATCACTTTGGAGCAGGTAACTGGAATATATTATGCAATTAGGCTAAATCTAACATTATAATCCAGACAATATGTAATAATATGTGATATAGACAATGCAACAGTTAATATTGAAGGCCACTGCGCTCTAGATATTAAAAAATGCTCTTTTTGCATATACAGTACATAAAAGCAGTCATTGTACTATTACAAATGAGTTGCTTGACATTTACCTTCATGATAAATCAATACAAGCACCGAGAACATTATAGTATCATCTCTCTTCCTCCTTTCGAACATTTTTCATCAAGAAATACATGTACACGTATTTTACACGTATTATACTAGTTTTTAGATTTGGTTTATTAATTCTAATTTCCTTCAAAAATCATCCTAATGACTAGATGGCAAAATTCATGCAAACTTTTTATTCCATTTCATTTTTTACAAGGCATTAACATGCAAAATGTCACCACCTGGCATTTGTTACAGACACCAAACACCAACTGTCAAACACCAAACACCAACCGCAAAATGTTGAAGACCATAACAATATGTCACAATTTGTGGTGGTGACATATCAACCATTGTTTTCTATCTAAACAACTGCAGCCATGCAAAACATATTCTTCTTGGGCGCTGATTCTCCTCGATTTCTGAATTAAACAGTGTTTTGACTGAACTTTTCATTGTCTACTATAGGTATTAAGGATGCAGTACCGGGTCGGTTTTCACGTCTGTTTGCGCAGGTTTGACTTCCGGTTTGAGAAAGCTAGCTCCCAAGAACGTCATTTTCGCATTTAGTCTTATTCAAAAATTATAGTTTATTTCGAAAATGATGTTTCCAGAAAAAAATTAAATTGAAAACATTTTATCAAGCATATTTTATCCCTTTCACTTTTGTGGGAAAACTTGTTCTTGAGTCGCAATTAGTGGATACGAAAACCAGGGTTCGAAAGGTGCCAGCTCTATTGAAAACTCAAAAAAGTAAAAAGATTCATTTTGGGTGGGTAAAATAACTTTTTTATTTTGTAATTACCAGACGGTCAATCCTCGTCATATTGCACTTGGATGATGATAACATCATAGTGATACATTGTAAAAAATATGAGCAAAATCTAATGTCTGGAACTTATTCTACGCTGACCTGGTACTGCATCCTTAAAGCCACAAAGCATCATAAGCCATTCTAAGAGGTAATAAACAAGTATAATGTATATTTTTCAACACACATTTTGACTTCTGGGTATATCAAAATCTGCTTGTAATAAGATGATACAATTATCGGAATGTAAAAGCAACAAAAACAAAAGGTTGGGTTTCATTTCTTATTGATTTCTCTCAGTGTCAATGAAATCAACTGCCCAGTCAGTTGCCTATTGGATGACATATTACTTTTTGAGCTCTGGGTTATACAGGTATTGGTTGGACTAAACCAGCCCAGATCAACAGTTATTTTCTCATTTGAATTACCTGTACGTAAACTAGCTTGATATAATTTTTTGTGTCAGATTTGAAATATACAATATCTTGCATCATTTTTCTATGCTTCACAGTGGGATAAATGACTGGACAGTTTCCTATCAAATGTTCCTATCTGTTGTTTTTCATCTCAAAGCTTATAAATTTTCTGACAGATGAAGGTGGTGAACAAGAGACATCATTATGTCTGTCCTCTATAGAGCTCTGGGGCTTTTCCTCCTCTTGATTTTACAATCAATTTGACTTTTACATCTCAGAGGAAAAATAGATGGTTTCCAATTTTGTTCAGTATATGCTCAATGACATAGTTTTTTGGGGAAAGTTTCTGATACACAAAAAATTGCATAATGCCAATAATTTTCATAAAATCACATTGCAAAATTTAAGAAATTTTACTGCATAAAACTGAGGGACAGGCCAAAGCATCCCTAAGTTGTGCTCAATGTAAATTACATTGGAACAGATTTTTAACCTATCTCTTTTATTTGATCCTCTTAGATTTTTATGTAGTCTTCACACGAGTGTCTGGGTCTCATCCTTCCAGGCTTCCACATCCTTATGTCATCAAGAAAGTTAATATGAGACTATCATTGTTGCTTTTCTTCAAGGCTCTATCTGCTAATAAGGTCTTCTCAATTATAATACTAGTACCAACATCTATTTATGAGCATAATTCGATAGAACATACACTACCTTCATGCACTTCTTTTCACAATTTAAGTTCACATGCTCATTCATATTGCCATTATTTGTGAAAACATAACAATAAACATCCAAAACCCATTGCAAAGTATAATTTAGATTCCGTTGATAATACACCAATGCATTCGATTCTTCATCTAGAAATGAGTAAATCAAGATATACAATGATACTCACCTAGATGCTTTGGTGACTTTATCCCCTGATGAGGCAGCAGCAACATAATGCTGCACAGCTGCCAGGCGTATACCCGTATGCGCTTCTATGTAAGCAGCAGCTGCCGCACGGGCCACTTGTTCCCTCTGCTCTTGGCCTGAGGTAGTTGTAGGTGACTTGAGAGGACTGGTCACAGGAGGTAATGGAGCACGGATATCAATCAACGGTGGGAGCATGTGTTCTCTTAGACCACCAAGACTTGAAGGATACTGTGCAAGGTGCGATTTACCGAATGGTGCAAACGCCGACATTCTATTCTGGCCACTAGAACGAGTGATGGGAACATGGTAGGTTGAAGTTAACGCACGCACTCTCTCTGCGTATGCGCTATGGATGTCTGTACTGCTGCTAGCATGGGTGAGTTCATATCGTGCCCTACTGCTAGAAGATAATGCCATATCATCCTGAACCCGTTGTGAGATCTCTCTATCTTTTGATTCACTTTCCTGAAGGAGTCTCTGACTGGAGTGAGGTATTGATGAATCATCTTGAACCAAGTGACGACGCTGAGGTACATTGTCTCTGACCTGAGATTGAGGTATTGTTAAATCTAAAGTTCTTTGTGTTGAATGCTCTAAAGATTCTTTCTGATGAGGTGACAGGTTATGAGATATGAGGTAAGAGCCCTGAGGATGTCTTGAAACAGACTGAGGATGTCTTGATAAGGACTGATGCGGCCCTGATGCTGTATGAGGTTGACCCGAGGCTGTAGAAAGAGGAGCTGGCAATAAGTGTTGACGAAGACTAGATGACCCATCTCCTTTACTACTGCTGCACTGCGGGTCACTGAGGTAGTTATCTGGAGGTTCAGTCGACAGATTAGAGGAGGCAGGGGCACCACCTGACTGTGATGGTACATCGCTGGCTGTGTTTACATGATTAGAGCCACGGGAATCACTGGAGAGAGGAGATGTTGACTCTCGTCCTGGATGGTCTTTTTTCGATACATCTTCCTGGAGTCAGGAAATACATAATCATGTGTTACTTTTATGTCTAACTTCAAAGTGTGTTAAACTTATGTCAACCTTTAAGTGATTTGATTTAGATTATAATAAAAAGCAATTTCATTAACTACAAAGTGTTCATTAAAAATTCCTTGAGCAAATTATCACTTTTTAAAAATTATATCATTAACAAGGGTATTGAGAATCCAGTGCAAACCCTTATAAAGAAGACCCTCTAGCCTCAGTTGAGATTATGTTTCATAAAATATATATCTTAGCATTCAAATGCTAACTTATCTTTTTAAAAGATATTAAAAAGTGCATCACATTGACTCTTTTAATTTAAATAAAAGTGCGATAAAAATCAACATGTTTTAGTAACCTTAATTTACGTAAGATCTAGGTATGTACTTAAATTATCACGTAATGTTCTTTTCGTTCAAGTAAAACATGCAGAATGACAAATGTGCTTTAAGTTACAAATATACCGAAGGCTTAGAACTCCTAATATCTACCAAAAACTTGTAAATAGCCAAATCTCTGGAGAACCAGTGTTTAAGGAGACATCTTTTGGGTGAGGAAGGTCATAAAAATGATCAACCTCACTTTTCTTGAATTCAACAGAGCAGGATTAGATCTCACTTACAGTGCTATGCTCATGGGAATTTCCCGTCTCCATCGGTTCTGGCGATGAGAGATCGCGTGAAGATCTACTAGATCTGGTACTTCCCTGAGGTGAGTGTTGCAACTTGGCATTGTGTTCTTCAATCTCCTTGATTTCTTCCGCTGATAAGAACTCTGCAGCACTGGTAGGCCCGCTCTTCGGTTTCTTAGGAGGTGGCATTGATGTTATTGAGGTATGTTTAAGGTTGTATAGTAAGTTAAGTTCCTATACCGTCACATTACTGCTTTTGTCTGAAAATAAAAAAAATAGAAAAATTGAAAATTCCAAGTGGACACCAAATTTTGAGCATATCCGATCGCTATTCTGAACAGTCTTCCTGAAATCACACTGACAAAAAGTACATTTAAATTACCCTCTGTCAGCCAAGCTGATCACAGTACCATACCCTTTTTTAGGTTGGATAACCACTATCAACCAGCTATTTAGCAACACAGTTGTTGAAACATTCTGTCACAATATGTACATTATCATTTCCAAATAAACAAACAGATATCTGTCAAATGTATTCTTAGTCAAGTGTCAGACTCTGACATTCCTATTAGCAAATGCCATTAGAATATGGCCAACAATTTTTTTTTTCAGGTCGGCGTGATCTTGGATCACGATCAATCTCACTTATAACATGCGCTTGGGTCACTGCCACCTTGCTTTATGAAGATAAAGTACCAGAACCATATGACCTCTTACAAAACAGGCGTTAAAGTGCTGATATGAATATATGACAAATAGAAATACATATATATACCCTCTGTAAAGAAAAAAGGTGCATGGTCCTTTATCAGTTATAACATTTTCAAAATTTTGTATAATATTACTTAACTTTTTACCATATTTACAAAATTCTTTGAAATTTTCTCCATTTGGTCAAAGTATTCATACATTAAACCTCTGAAAGTTTGGTATGATAATAACAAAAAATATAAAAATATATGATTGGTAAGGTACAATGCACCCTTTTTCTTTACAGAGGGTATAGACATATAAACAGCTTGTAAATAAATATTTCTGTTTATTAATAGTTCTCTCAACATATCATCAAAATGCTTCTATTGAAAAAATATAAATTGTCAACTAATTTTTTCAAAAATATTTTAACAAGCAATGATTTTTTGCCTGAAACAATGTTTTTAAAGAAATAGTTAATGAACTTACAATCTGTTTGTTAATGACTATACTTTATAATAAGGATGTAATCATCAACAAGTCATAGAACAGAGGACACCTTAACATTTACAGCAGCATCAACATCAACAAGATAATCTATATCCAGAATCTAGTGCAATTACTGTACTTCTACTGAATTTGGTGACCATTTTAACTTGGAGCCAAATTCTTAAAATCCACCACGCCAAATTCAATATTTCCAGTTTATACATTTCAATATTGCAATGTAATCGAGTGTCACTCGCAAAAATGAGTGAAAATGCGTAAAAATTAAAGACTCACCCCGAAGACTGTTAAAATATCAAATTATTTTAGCGTCTCTACAATACACTATTGATGTTCCATATAGTTTGTTCGTTAAATGACAAGAAATATCATTGTTTATGCCACAATTTTGTTTGCTTGTTTTAAAATTTTTCATTTTGCTTCCAGAATCGATACTTTATTTTGTTCAGTGCATACAAGAAATGATCATTCCCAGGGTAATAATAAAATGTGCCTACTCGAGTTTGAAAAAATGTACAACTATCTTGGATAGGTTCAACGAATGAATGGCGAGTACCGACATTCGAGCTGCTCCACTACTACATGTATTTACCTTGTAATGAGCCCTGTCATAAATCATACATCAGGCTACATCTTGTTTATCTGTTTTATAACAATTTTGACAAAAATATTTAGATATCTTCTTATAAATAAATGGACATATCTCAAAACTAATTTCATTCCATAAAAAATCCCCATTATTGTCTTGAATAAAATTAGAATATATAATAGCTGATAGGAGATGGATATTTGGGTATCAATTATTGTAAATAATGCAGAATTACATTTGTATCATTACCAATAGAAGGATGTTAATCGTAAACAAAGTTGTTTAGGCCTCATCAGTTCCGAATTATCACATTTTGGATTTCACAGGTTTTCATATTCACCTGCAATGGTGGACAAATACCACAATGAAAAAATGAAAAATGGGAATCGATGCAAACTTACTCCCTGAACTTGTAGGTCACAATGACTTATCTTGACTAAAGTACTCTCATATTTTTTCTGTTAAAGAATAAGGTTACAATGACATCCAATATTTTTCTGTTTCAAAAAGCTTTTATGACACATGAAAGATATGAGTATGAATAGGCTAGGTCTTCAATATAACTAGGACAATAACAACAGCAATTGTTAAAACTGCTCATAGCAGCAACTGCTTATAGTCTTATATAAAAGAATACAAGACAGACACATCTGAAGCATTCAAAATTGAACTCACTTCCTTAAAGCTGAAGCAACTTCAGGAAAAAGCAAAGAAATACTCACATTCAAAAAATATAATAGCAAAAAACAACTCAATGTTATTTACCAACCTGCGATGAATATCGATCTGTTTATAGTTAACTCTGTGTCATTATAATATATCCAAATTTCCTGAACCTATTATTGGACAATGTAGCACTAGTTAGCCTAATGTTCGTAACCTTTCCAGTAAAACAGTGAGATCCACACATTGAGCAAGCTCGTGTCACATCTCTCCATCATAAAAAACAGCGCTAATTAATAAGTGGGAGCTGTTGCTGAACTGCACTATAGAGCTACTAAGGCATCATGGCCTTATCCTCAGTTGACCCTCTATTGCTTTAACACAGAACACTCTCTTCTAATATGCATATAGATCACACATTATAAAATAGCAATTTATAGTGTCATACTCTTTTCTATAGGTTGAACTGATTTGACACAATACTGTCATTTCAAGGGTGAATCTGTTATGTCTCTATTCAAGTGCTTCAAGGGACATGTATATAAGCTGCCTCTTTATCTCCATTAATGAAATTGGCTACAATAATCTCTAGATTAAGTGATGATGTACCAGCATAGCGGTTGAAGAATATCCTATGAGAAGCAACCTATATTTTAATCTCTGGGTATATGTTCATCTGTATTGATGATTACATTAACACAATTCTTTAAGGTATAGGGTCACCTACTCTGTATGCCTATTATTAGGGTCAACCAGTATCCTGTCTAATAAACCCAATATAGCAAGGTACAGGGTCACCCCCATACTGTATAATATAAACATACAGCTTATGCCTGCTTTCTGCTAATTATTCATTTTTGAACCGAAACCTCTATTTTTACATTATTTGATTAGTTTTTAGTTTCTCGTTGTAACCCAGTAGCCAAGATCAATTCAAGAGTATACAGTATGAAGTGAATCAACAGTTTACTATGACCTGATCAGCTATGTAAACATTCTGAATAAAAATATCTGATAATTTTATAAACAAATGGCAACATGATTTCTATCATGAATCAATGAATCATTGTGCAAAATGGGATTCAAATAGATTAGAATGTGAAGAAATGTATTGAGGTGTATTACACAAAGGTAGACCCAGTGTGTTCCTAAGCAAACACAACTCACAGGACCAATGGAGCGGCAAAATCATAATTTCAACCAGTCCAGGCTTGAGCATCATCGGTCACCTGAACCTGTAACTTCTGTTATATCACCGGTAAAGCGCTGATCGTTTGTCGGAATCGTCGCAGGGTTTTCACTAGGCTTTTAAACTCCGGAGTCTAATGTCTTAAAACCCTCTTGCTCCAGAGTCTAATAGCTTTTCCGGAGCCTAAAGTGTTTTTTCCAGAGTCTAATTTTACATTTTAGTCACATTATTCATATTGGCAGTAAAACTCTTGAGAAAATACATAAAACTGGATACAAACAAGGAATAGGAAGTCAGAAACCTTTTAGAAATAAATATTGGAATTAAAACAGCAAGATAAGCTTAAGAATTATGTTGAAAAGTATACTAATAGGATATCTCTGATCTCACATGGGAGAGAAGTAGTCCCGATACCGCGAAAAAAGTAGTCAAAATACCGCTAAAAATCTGTGGTCTAAAAATTTCCTGGTGAGAACCCTGCGTCGATTGGCGATCGAAATGTCACTTCGACATTGACATCGACATAAGCATCAAAGGTCGACATGAAATAGCATAGAAATAATACGGTGATAAACAAGAACATACCTCAATTTCACTAAATAGTTGAACAAATCTAAAGTCATATTTGTATTTGCTTTTGAAGATTTGAACTTCTGAGCACTTGTAGGTGCAGTGTTCACCACAGGATTTTTCTTCGAGTAGGTGCAAAATTCTAATTTTCAGAATTCAAACCAAAATTGATCAAAATATGCCCATTTTCCATATTAGCAAAAAGATACTGTTGACATGGCAAATATACTATGCTAGCATTGCTAGATGTTATTTGTCTAAATGCTTATTTCATTGTAGGATTGTAAGGTTTCCTCCACCTCTTAGAGATCATATAATTACAAGTTACATGATTTCCTCAATTAATCGTTTAACCTATTACATCAGCTGCTACTCTTTTAAGCCATTTGTTTCATATATAATATACATGATGAACAAATGGATAAGTAAAATAACATCTAAGGAAATGGATTTAGGAAATGGAAAAAGTATTCACATCAGTATGCCAATGAACAATGCACAAAACATCAAATAACAAGCCGTTAATGCATTGTTGTTTGAAATGCAACTTGGGAAAAATAATATATTGTTGTTCGAAATGCATCTCGGGTAAAATTATAAATTGTTGTTCGAAATGCATCTCGGGTAAAAAGCGACATCTGGCGGAGAAATCTCTCTGATTCGTAAATATAAAAATTCAATAGTACTTGCCTTGTTTTTCTCATTCAATGATTATGTTCTGCCAATTATGTATCCAAATAATTGTTTAAAATGTAAGGCGAGGATAATACAATTTCCAATATGATATTGATATGATTATTTCATGAACAGATATCCTAGCATTCCAGCAACCAGTTAACCATAAGTCATTTTACATTGTTGAGTAGTTTACTTAACAAATGTCATGTAAAGAATATACGATGTCAACATATGCTCCTAATATCAAGGGAGTAATAACTCTATACATGGAGGGACAGGCTGACATTTCAAATAGCGCCATATGAGACATAAACATACAGACAGACTATAATACAGTTTAACTGAAGGCCATAGAAGTGAGCATATATACGAGGGTTGTCCCAGAAGTAATACACTTTATCCCATACTTGGACATGTTACAGGTACATAAAGCCGGTTTGTAAAAACTTATATTTTCATCAGTGGGCAGATATAGCTTTACGTCCCGCTCCGAGCAGGCAGATATTAGTGGTGCAACTCGCAAGAAAAATGCTACTCGAGTAGAAAGTGTGAAAATGCCACTGTAATCGAGTACCACTCGCAAAAATGAGGGAAAAATTTTAAAAAAATAAAAAACTCACCTAGTCGACTGTTTGAAGACCAAATAGATACAATTTCTTCGTTTCTTCTATATGTTATTGATGTTATATATAGTTTGTATCAATTTAGTGAGAATAAATGTAGTTATTCATGCCATAATTGTGTTTGTTTGTTTGTTTTTAAATATTTTCATTTTGTTTCCGGAATCGATACTTTATTTCGTTCATTGCATACAAAAAATCATCATTCCCGGGGTTTAAAACACTTCATAATAAAACATGCCTACTCAAGTTTGAAAAAACGTACTCGAGTCACTATCTTGGACAGGTTCAACGAGTGAGTGGCGAGAACTGGCATTCGAGTTGCACCACTAGCAGATATAGTATAATCGCCGCTTGCATATTTGTTCATAATTTGTAACGTTCGCGTAATGACTGTAAACGACAATGGAGAATACACAGACAATCGGGATCTGTTTGATGGTTTGAAAAAGGGAAGGAGCATCCACTTAATCAATCAAAAATTTGAGAAAATAAATGTGGGAATATTTGAGAGACCAGGAAAATCTGCCCACGGCCAAGAAAACAAAACTGGACATGAATATATAGAGGATATCCTATGATTTATGAGTGATATGATTTTTATCCACGAATGGATATGATATCTGCACGAGCGAGCGTAGCGAGAGAGTGCAGATATCAATATCCATGAGTGGATCAAAATCATATCACGAGTAAATCATAGGATGTTCTTTTTATTCCATAGTTAAAGTCATCATCAGAATCGTCGGAAATTAAGTTATTTAATTCGAATTTCCAAACGATCCGGCGATGTTGACACGTAGCCTTGTTTTGAGTCCGAAGTAGCAAAAATCCATAAACCATCGCATACGACGTCGTATGTCATGGCTAAAAAACCGTATGTTATGGTTAAGAGAAAATTTGTCAAAAATATCATATTTTACCACTGATTACAAAAATACCGTTTTTATTTTCACATGTTATCCTATGAATATCATGCTAACTATGGAATAATCTAAAATATTTCCACGACTGAACAATGTGAACCAATGTGTCCAAGATTTGTATGGGATAAACATATTATCCTATAGTCGGTTCAGGTTATTGGGATTATCCCTTGGCCAATATAATATATTTTCCCAATATCCTGAACCTCATATAGGATAATCTCTATATATACTCTAACTTTCTTTAATATTCTTTATTTCAACTGAAATTTAGTGTATATTGCAATTGAAGTGTTATCTGTTATACCCTGAAGTTTCAGCATCATATATTTACAAGTATTAAAATGGTTGCTATAGCAACATGGGGGTAGGGATGAGCGGGGCAGGTGCAATTTTTTCTAAACATGAAAAGCTCTTAAGTGTTATTTTATTTATATTTCTTTTTTCTTGTACACCCATTCTCAAAGTTCAGGTCCAAACGCTGTTGCCGCCATATTACATAAAAGATAAGCACTGAACTAAGAAATGCTTAATGTGATATTCATTGTAGACATGAAGTTACTTTAAAAAGAACACCTAAAATTGGAATGATTTCCGTCAGCTCCATGAAGCCAGTGGCTTTCAAAGTCGTATTTTCTCATTTTCGAAACTGTCGACGATCAAAGGTACAAGTAAATATGGTGTTGAAATTCATTGTCATTTCATGGCTTGTTTTTACCTGCCATACCAAGTCTTTTTGAAACATGTACTCATTGTTGATATTTCAAAACGGTTAATGAAATTTAACAATGAATGTCATTGTCGCCGAATTTCAAAAACCTTCGTTACTGAGACACCTTCTATCTTTGAGATGCAATAACTAACTTGAAGGAGGTACTTCCACATTGTTTTGCTGTTTATACAAATAAAGAAACAACCAAGATGTGTTCCAAATTACAAAAATGCATGAAGGTTTTAGTAAAATCATGGCTATTGGAAGCCCAATTCAAATGTACTGTTTTTGAAGTAAAGTTCATGACTTTCGTTACAGTGGTATTTTGCTTATAATCATACCCTATACATAATGTTTTTGTACCATGAAGGATTGTCATATCTTACCGATAAAATATGACAGTATTACAACAGAGGCATAACATTCTAGTAAAGTGGATTATACTGCCTATTTTTAATATTCCTTATTCACACTTTCGTTATGCAATTTTGCACTAAACAAAGAAAACTACGAAAATTGCACAGAAATGACATATATCTTCTATATATGATCGGCCCGGGTTCGAATCCTGCACTCACTTTTTTATTTTTTTAACTTAATGGTTGTTCTTTGATATTAC